TACGGTGCCTGTACCCATGGTTCCGATGTCATTGTCGTCACTATCCCCAGAACTGTTAGGTTTACTGTTAAGGTGCCTGTACCCATGGTTCCGATGTCATTGTCGTCACTATCCCCAGAACTGTTAGGTTTACTGTTAAGGTGCCTGTACCCATGGTTCCGATGTCATTGTCGTCACTATCCCCAGAACTGTTAGGTTTACTGTTAAGGTGCCTGTACCCATGGTTCCGATGTCATTGTCGTCACTATCCCCAGAACTGTTAGGGTTTACTGTTAAGGTGCCTGTACCCATGGTTCCGATGTCATTGTCGTCACTATCCCCAGAACTGTTAGGGTTTACTGTTAAGGTGCCTGTACCCATGGTTCCGATGTCATTGTCGTCACTATCCCCAGAACTGTTAGGTTTACTGTTAAGGTGCCTGTACCCATGGTTCCGATGTCATTGTCGTCACTATCCCCAGAACTGTTAGGTTTACTGTTAAGGTGCCTGTACCCATGGTTCCGATGTCATTGTCGTCACTATCCCCAGAACTGTTAGGTTTACTGTTAAGGTGCCTGTACCCATGGTTCCGATGTCATTGTCGTCACTATCCCCAGAACTGTTAGGTTTACTGTTAAGGTGCCTGTACCCATGGTTCCGATGTCATTGTCGTCACTATCCCCAGAACTGTTAGGTTTACTGTTAAGGTGCCTGTACCCATGGTTCCGATGTCATTGTCGTCACTATCCCCAGAACTGTTAGGTTTACTGTTAAGGTGCCTGTACCCATGGTTCCGATGTCATTGTCGTCACTATCCCCAGAACTGTTAGGTTTACTGTTAAGGTGCCTGTACCCATGGTTCCGATGTCATTGTCGTCACTATCCCCAGAACTGTTAGGTTTACTGTTAAGGTGCCTGTACCCATGGTTCCGATGTCATTGTCGTCACTATCCCAGAACTGTTAGGTTTACTGTTACATGGTTCCGATGTCATTTACTGTATCCCCAGAACTGTTAGGTTTACTGTTAAGGTGCCTGTACCCATGGTTCCGATGTCATTGTCGTCACTATCCCCAGAACTGTTAGGTTTACTGTTAAGGTGCCTGTACCCATGGTTCCGATGTCATTGTCGTCACTATCCCCAGAACTGTTAGGTTTACTGTTAAGGTGCCTGTACCCATGGTTCCGATGTCATTGTCGTCACTATCCCCAGAACTGTTAGGTTTACTGTTAAGGTGCCTGTACCCATGGTTCCGATGTCATTGTCGTCACTATCCCCAGAACTGTTAGGTTTACTGTTAAGGTGCCTGTACCCATGGTTCCGATGTCATTGTCGTCACTATCCCCAGAACTGTTAGGTTTACTGTTAAGGTGCCTGTACCCATGGTTCCGATGTCATTGTCGTCACTATCCCCAGAACTGTTAGGTTTACTGTTAAGGTGCCTGTACCCATGGTTCCGATGTCATTGTCGTCACTATCCCCAGAACTGTTAGGTTTACTGTTAAGGTGCCTGTACCCATGGTTCCGATGTCATTGTCGTCACTATCCCCAGAACTGTTAGGTTTACTGTTAAGGTGCCTGTACCCATGGTTCCGATGTCATTGTCGTCACTATCCCCAGAACTGTTAGGTTTACTGTTAAGGTGCCTGTACATGGTTCCGATGTCATTGTCGTATCCCCAGAATGTAGGTTTACTGTACCCATGGTTCCGATGTCATTGTCGTCACTATCCCCAGAACTGTTTAGGTTTACTGTTAAGGTGCCTGTACCCATGGTTCCGATGTCATTGTCGTCACTATCCCCAGAACTGTTAGGTTTACTGTTAAGGTGCCTGTACCCATGGTTCCGATGTCATTGTCGTCACTATCCCCAGAACTGTTAGGTTTACTGTTAAGGTGCCTGTACCCATGGTTCCGATGTCATTGTCGTCACTATCCCCAGAACTGTTAGGTTTTACTGTTAAGGTGCCTGTACCCATGGTTCCGATGTCATTGTCGTCACTATCCCCAGAACTGTTAGGTTTACTGTTAAGGTGCCTGTACCCATGGTTCCGATGTCATTGTCGTCACTATCCCCAGAACTGTTAGGTTTACTGTTAAGGTGCCTGTACCCATGGTTCCGATGTCATTGTCGTCACTATCCCCAGAACTGTTAGGTTTACTGTTAAGGTGCCTGTACCCATGGTTCCGATGTCATTGTCGTCACTATCCCCAGAACTGTTAGGTTTACTGTTAAGGTGCCTGTACCCATGGTTCCGATGTCATTGTCGTCACTATCCCCAGAACTGTTAGGTTTACTGTTAAGGTGCCTGTACCCATGGTTCCGATGTCATTGTCGTCACTATCCCCAGAACTGTTAGGTTTACTGTTAAGGTGCCTGTACCCATGGTTCCGATGTCATTGTCGTCACTATCCCCAGAACTGTTAGGTTTACTGTTAAGGTGCCTGTACCCATGGTTCCGATGTCATTGTCGTCACTATCCCCAGAACTGTTAGGTTTACTGTTAAGGTGCCTGTAACCCATGGTTCCGATGTCATTGTCGTCACTATCCCCAGAACTGTTAGGTTTACTGTTAAGGTGCCTGTACCCATGGTTCCGATGTCATTGTCGTCACTATCCCCAGAACTGTTAGTTTTACTGTTACGGTGCCTGTACCCATGGTTCCGATGTCATTGTCGTCACTATCCCCAGAACTGTTAGGTTTACTGTTAAGGTGCCTGTACCCATGGTTCCGATGTCATTGTCGTCACTATCCCCAGAACTGTTAGGTTTACTGTTAAGGTGCCTGTAACCCATGGTTCCGATGTCATTGTCGTCACTATCCCCAGAACTGTTAGGTTTACTGTTAAGGTGCCTGTACCCATGGTTCCGATGTCATTGTCGTCACTATCCCCAGAACTGTTAGGTTTACTGTTAAGGTGCCTGTACCCATGGTTCCGATGTCATTGTCGTCACTATCCCCAGAACTGTTAGGTTTACTGTTAAGGTGCCTGTACCCATGGTTCCGATGTCATTGTCGTCACTATCCCCAGAACTGTTAGGTTTACCGTTACGGTGCTTGAAGCTCATGGGTCAGATGTCATTGTCCCGTCTCTATGTAGGTTACATCGATATGTTCTTTTGACTTCAGCTGTTTACATGCGGGTCATGATGAGACTGTCTGAATATCCACAGTAAACATGAACATCGGCAGCCGACATGTCTCATCCACGCTACTCAACACCGTGTGAACCCGGTGTGTTTCCATCGATGTGTACACATGTACACGGTATATCGAACAACTGGAAGGTTAGCGTGACCCTATACAATAAACATACTTCTGCCAGCTAGAAAATCGACACATGATGCATTCAGTAATATCACGTTTCCCACACGTAGGGAACAACCTGTTTTACAGCTGTCACAAGGGTATTTACGTAATCTGGTTGCATTATGTTTGCTACTATTATTATACATAAAATATTAAGGTCCTGTAGCTGCTAACATCAACTGCTTATATGACTCGTCATTACTGTTTCTGGTTCGGGTGAAACCTTCAGGTACATTTCGAGACATGTATTCCTGGGTAATGTGAAACCTTCAGGTACATTTCGAGACATGTATTCCTGGGTAATGTGAAACCTTCAGGTACATTTGGAGACATGTATTCCTGGGTAATGTGAAACCTCCCGGTACATTTCGAGACATGTATTCCTGGGTAATGTGAAACCTTCAGGTACATTTCGAGACATGTATTCCTGGGTAATGTGAAACCTTCAGGTACATTTCGAGACATGTATTCCTGGGTAATGTGAAACCTTCAGGTACATTTCGAGACATGTATTCCTGGGTAATGTGAAACCTCCCGGTACATTTCGAGACATGTATTCCTGGGTAATGTGAAACCTTCAGGTACATTTCGAGACATGTATTCCTGGGTAATGTGAAACCTTCAGGTACATTTCGAGACATGTATTCCTGGGTAATGTGAAACCTTCAGGTACATTTCGAGACATGTATTCCTGGGTAATGTAAAACCTTCCGGTACATTTCGAGACATGTATTCCTGGGTAATGTGAAACCTCCCGGTACATTTCGAGACATGTATTCCTGGGTAATGTGAAACCTTCAGGTACATTTCGAGACATGTATTCCTGGGTAATGTGAAACCTCCCGGTACATTTGGAGACATGTATTCCTGGGTAATGTGAAACCTCCCGGTACATTTGGAGACATGTATTCCTGGGTAATGTGAAACCTTCAGGTACATTTCGAGACATGTATTCCTGGGTAATGTGAAACCTTCCGGTACATTTCGAGACATGTATTCCTGGGTAATGTGAAACCTTCCGGTACATTTCGAGACATGTATTCCTGGGTAATGTGAAACCTTCCGGTACATTTCGAGACATGTATTCCTGGGTAATGTGAAACCTTCAGGTACATTTCGAGACATGTATTCCTGGGTAATGTGAAACCTTCCGGTACATTTCGAGACATGTATTCCTGGGTAATGTGAAACAAGATATAAAACCTTCGGGGATAAAGTCCATTCGCTGAGAAATATGGTATTTACGTCTTGTGGACATCATGACGATTGTTGGGGTGTGGCTGTCATCTGCAATTCCTAAGTACTTCCCAGATTAACGAGTCTCCTTCCCAACACACGTTGCTCATGTCACGGCGTAACTCAGATAGAAATTAAATAATAGCCTACATCAGTTACATGATGGAGTATCCATGGCAACATACCTAACGTGTGACGTGTTCACCCAGAAAATGGATGAGTTACAATAAGGTCAAGTCTTTAGGTTGTAGAAAACATTAATATGAACATAACCCTACTCGTTTACAGCAGTGTGTTCATCCACCTTGCATTTGCATTTCTTAAACATGATGTACAATCGAGAATTCCCTTCCTGTGATGATTTCTCCAAATGACAAAGGGCTCGTCCACAAATGTTAGTAAAGGTCAAAATTAAGGCTGCTATACTCGAGGCTTTCAAGAATATTAAGGTAGACATGTGGAAAATATTTCCTACCTCGTAACACCGGTGTCAACAATGACGTACAAAAGTCCCGTCCTCCCCGTGACAACAATTGACTTGCCTTTGCTTGTATTTGTCTCATGACATGAACACATGACACATCGTCGCCTGAAAACCAGAGTGTACTTAGTCACAGAAACCTATTTTCGAGAAATTCGATCTTGAAGTTTAGGACAACAATATCTTCTTCACTTTTCAATCGAATTCTTTCAAATTTTGCACATGCATGTGACATGTTAAACAGGATCAGAAAATATCAAATTATATGCTCAATCTATTGAAATAAATAAGAAATTCACGACAAATGATTGGAGATAGAACACTTGACCAAAGAAAATCGTGATTTTTCTCAAAACCAAAGTGTTCTAAGTGTCAAAAAACACAGCTAAAACTCAGCTTTATTATTATTATATCGATATTTGATTGTTATTGCCTTTTTACCAGGTTGTATTTTTGTCGTTTAAACCTGTTTTTCTTTCATAAGGACTATATTTAATTAGATACAGCAGAAATAAGAACAGAGTTAAAATGTTCCATTTCCATGATGACAATCACTTCAAAATTGGTAAATCTCAATGTCACGTGATCAAATTGTGCTTGCCCATTGGTCAATTGACAACTTAGAACACTCGAAAATTAACAACATGTGATTTTCATGGAGATAGAACAAAGTTTCTGTTTGAAAAATCACTTTCAAAGCTGGATAGCACTGTAAAAAGTTGCTAGAGTAATAGATTATGCTCTAAAACCTACTCTGAGCATACTAACTCTAATTTTGTCAAAAGTGGACATGTGCTAAGATGTAGACAAGTAATAAAGCTGAAATTCATTCTGGTTATGGAAAGGGGTTTGTAGTTACAATATAAGTGAATACATTGCAAGAGATTCCTCTGCAAAAAGTTTGTCAAAACAAGTTTCTATGTCTGTGGTCCCGCCAACTGTAACATATTTCAGTTACGTGCAATATATAATTATCTTTCTTGATTGGCTGATCGTGGAATAGGTGAGCTTTCTGCTGCATTATTGCGCAGGTTTCGTATTGTGGGTATTTCCTGTTTGTTTATCATTAAATAAACCAGGAAGTATTTGCTGTAGACGTATTATTTCATAAGAAAAAAACGGAGCTTTTATAGATTTATGAAAGTTACAGACCGAGTGCACTCTTTGCATTAATAAGTCTGGCGGATGTATACAGCTGCCGTATCAGCCTGGATTTCCTGCTTGGCAACGACATTAGAATCTATGTCGAAACGTCGCCTCCACAGAATAAAGGAAGTTGTATATCCATAATAATTGTCATTATTCATCATCAGTTTAGATGTTTGGACCGCAATAAACGCAAACAATGTCGAAGTCATTTTTAAATTATTAAGTCATGATCTAGTACTATATTACGGACTTTAAAAGAAGATCTCACACTACGTCAGTATCTGAAGATGGCAGTTATACCGTCTTTACCTACATACAGTTAGATCGAAAACTTGCAGGCTTTAGCGCTTCCTGAAAACCTCTTCGATAGCACTCTTGCCTTATTCGCGACACAACTGTACAATCAAAGCAAAAACTGACATGAACAAACTTTGATGCTTATACTTGTTGACGTATCTGATAGTAAAGATCAGAAAAAGGCGCCATCTTTGTTGTAGTCTGCAGATCCTGCTCAGCACAAAGCGGGATCATTCCGTATCATACTTACTTTATTCCGACAAAGAGAAAGTACGAGAGGTTGGTAGCGTCACGTTTCGCAAATATCTGTAAGTCTTGTATGGACCGAGCGTGTACAGCTGTAAGTCTTGTATGGACCGAGCGTGTACAGCTGTAAGTCTTGTATGGACCGAGCGTGTACATCTGTAAGTCTTGTATGGACCGAGCGTGTACAGCTGTAAGTCTTGTATGGACCGAGCGTGTACAGCTGTAAGTCTTGTATGGACCGAGCGTGTACAGCTGTAAGTCTTGTATGGACCGAGCGTGTACAGCTGTAAGTCTTGTATGGACCGAGCGTGTACAGCTGTATTGCTATCCTGAGATACAGATGAAACAGATATAACGGCTGCACCCTCACTACGCTACCTGTATAGTAGATGTGTTTTGGGAAAGTGCATAGACAAACCTCCTTACTCACGAGTGAGTGAGTGAGTTTGGTTATTCCTTCATGATTAAAAGGTTACATTGTCTTTGAACATTTAAACATTTTTACAGTCACCTGTTTCGAATATAATACATGATTAAGATATTGAAAAACTTTAAAATGTAGCCTCCGAGTTGAAGAATATTTTGCCATTTTAAAAAAATTTGATATCAGGAATTAACATATCGGGTATCCGGGAAGGTAGTGTAATAGGGGCGGGGTACCCGGGTAGAAAATGAGAACCCGGCCCTGCCATAATCACTGCATTAAGCAGGCTATTCTTCCAAACTTCAAATTGTACCTCTTGCAGTTCTTAACCCCTCTGTACGGGTATGTACTGGTTAATTTGCGTTCCTGTATATATGTAGCTTTCCTAGCAAACGTTTAGACTCACTATTGTAAATATAGCCACCTAATTCAAGCAACTGTTCTTAACTTCATTTTGCAAAATATCCCATACTGTTTAAAAGTACTGTTTACACATGAACTGTTGTATTATAAAACAAATCAGAAAAATGTAAAGATTACTGTCATGAGTTCAGTAAATGATAAAAATCAGTGAAATTGGCGAATTCTTAACAAAACTTTTCACCAAAACGCAGCTGTTCACATGCACGATATTTGCACATGCTTTTCAGCAATTTGATGCATGATCCTCGTGCAATTCATCTGCATAATGTTTGCAGTTGGTTCCCCCAAGTTTGTGGAGAAATTCATCTTCGATGTAACCATAGTACAGTGTGTTTTAAGTGAGTCTAAACTTTTGAAGAGAAGTATATATCGGCAGCTCGTTGTTCATTACACTTGTTTACATGTCTGTGTATGATTTATAACTTCCATCATCAATACCGATATCAATAATTACAATAAGACACTTTACGGTTGACAGACAGCCTCTTTATTATATTATGATTCAACGTTTCGGTACAGGTTCGTATACCATTGTCACAGTTGCTTGACTGGGGTTTATAGATCATATATTTATTATGTTATGATTCAACCTTTCGGTACAGGTTCGTATACCATTGTCACTCTTGCTTGACTGGGGTTTATAGACCATATATTTATTATATTATGATTCAACGTTTCGGTACAGGTTCGTATACCAGTGTCACTCTTGCTTGACTGGGGTTTATAGACCATATATTTATTATGTTACCTTCGTATTACTCATCAACTTCTACAGCCAATCAAACAGAGCCATTGATTAGCTGTGTTTGTAGAAGTACTGACGTAATTAAACGACATGTGTCTACACGGTTAAAGGGAACTATCGGTTGATTCCTACGATCATAAAGTGTTCAGGGGCATGATATTTAATGGTAACTGAGATAGCGGGATGTCCAAGAGGTCAAAGTGATCACTCGAGACGCCAGAGGACCCGGTTTCATTCCCAAGATAGGTACAATGTTGGAAACCCGTTTCAGATATCCCTATCACGACAGTATTGGCATAATGTCACGGCAGTGTTGACAAAAAGTCACGACAGTGTTGGTTTGATGTTACGATAGCGTTGGTTTAAAGTCATGATAGTGCTGACATAATGTCACGTCAGTGCTGACATAATGTCACGAATGTGGTGACATAATGTTGACAAAAAGTCGCGACAGTGTTGGTTTCATGTAAAGACAATGTTGGTTTTAAGTCACGATAGTGCTGACATAGTGTCACAACAGTGTCGACAAAATGTCACGACAGTGTTGACAAAAAGTCACTACAGTCTTGGTTTAATGTTACGACAGTGCTGACATAATGTCACGACAGTGTTGACAAAAAGTCACGACAGTGGTGACATAATGTCACGGCAGTGTTGACAGAAAGTCACGACAGTGTTGGCATAATGTCACGGCAGTGTTGACAAAAAGTCACGACAGTGTTGGTTTGATGTTACGATAGCGTTGGTTTAAAGTCACGACAGTGCTGACATAATGTTGACAAAAAGTCGCGACAGTGTTGGTTTCATGTAAAGAAAATGTTGGTTTTAAGTCACGATAGTGCTGACATAGTGTGACAACAGTGTCGACATAATGTCACGGCAGTGTCGACATAATGTCACGACAGTGTTGACATGTCATGGCAGTGTTGGCATAATGTCAACAGAGGTGTCAAACCAGTTCAGTCGTTCAGTCTGTCTGGAATAAAGAGACCTTCCCTCCAGGATTACTTGAACTCAGTTAACTGAGGGCAGTAACCAAACATGTGGCATATATCCCACCAGATGATTGAACATCCTGTACCCAATACTCCAACTGGCAACTGATATACGCTTCACTGATCAATACCTGGCGAGATATCAGCCAACGCTGACACATATACCTCAGGAAATATCTCTAAGTGGAGGTACGTACACACATACAACACCTTGATGTAATAAATAACACGTATCACATTCGGTAGATGTACGTACACACATACAACACCTTTATGTAATAAATAACACCTATCACATTCAGTAGATGTACGTACACACATACAACACCTTGATGTAATAAATAACACGTATCCCATTCAGTAGATGTACGTACACACATACAACACCTTGATGTAATAAATAACACCTATCACATTCAGTAGATGTACGTACACACATACAGCACCTTCATGTAATAAATAACACGTGTGACGTTCAGTAGATGTACGTACACACATACAACACCTTGATGTAATAAATAACACGTGTGACGTTCAGTAGATGTACGTACACACATACAACACCTTCATGTAATAAATAACACGTATCACATTCAGTAGATGTACGTACACACATACAACACCTTCATGTAATCAATAACACGTGTGACGTTCAGAAGATGTACGTACACACATACAACACCTTCATGTAATCAATAACACGCATCACATTCTGTAGATGTACGTACACACATACAACACTTTCATGTAATAAATAACACGTATCACATTCTGTAGATGTACGTACACACATACAACACCTTCATGTAATAAATAACACGTCTGACGTTCAGAAGATGTACGTACACACATACAACACCTTCATGTAAACAATAACACGTATCACATTCTGTAGATGTACGTACACACATACAACACCTTCATGTAATAAATAACACGTGTGACGTTCAGTAGATGTACGTACACACATACAACACCTTCATGTAATCAATAACACGTGTGACGTTCAGTAGATGTACGTACACACAACACCTTCATGTAATAAATAACACGTATCACATTCAGTAGATGTACGTACACACATACAACACCTTCATGTAATCAATAACACGTGTGACGTTCAGTAGATGTACGTACACACATACAACACCTTCATGTAATAAATAACACGTATCACATTCAGTAGATGTACGTACACACATACAACACCTTCATGTAATCAATAACACGTGTGACGTTCAGTAGATGTACGTACACACATACAACACTTTCATGTAATAAATAACACGTATCACATTCAGTAGATGTACGTACACACATACAACACCTTCATGTAATCAATAACACGTATCACATTCAGTAGATGTACGTACACACATACAACACCTTCATGTAATCAATAACACGTATCACATTCGGTAGATGTACGTACACACATACAACACCTTCATGTAATAAATAACACGTATCACATTCGGTAGATGTACGTACACACATACAACACCTTCATGTAATAAATAACAAAATCACATTCGGTAGATGTACGTACACACATACAACACCTTCATGTAATAAATAACACGTATCACATTCAGTAGATGTACGTACACACATACAACACCTTCATGTAATCAATAACACGTGTGACGTTCAGTAGATGTACGTACACACATACAACACCTTCATGTAATAAATAACACGTATCACATTCAGTAGATGTACGTACACACATACAACACCTTCATGTAATCAATAACACGTGTGACGTTCAGTAGATGTACGTACACGTACACACATACCTACCACCTTAGATGTACGTACACACATCAACACCTTTATGTAATATGACACGTATCACATTCGGTAGATGTACGTACACACATACAACACCTTAACACGTAATCAATAGATGTACGTATCACATTCGGTAGATGTACGTACACACATACAACACCTTTATGTAATAAATAACACGTATCACATTCGGTAGATGTACGTACACACATACAACACCTTCATGTAATCAATAACACGTATCACATTCGGTAGATGTACGTACACACATACAACACCTTCATGTAATAAATAACACGTATCACATTCGGTAGATGTACGTACACACATACAACACCTTCATGTAATCAATAACACGTGTGACGTTCAGTAGATGTACGTACACACATACAACACCTTCATGTAATAAATAACACGTATCACATTCAGTAGATGTACGTACACACATACAACACCTTCATGTAATCAATAACACGTGTGACGTTCAGTAGATGTACGTACACACATACAACACTTTCATGTAATAAATAACACGTATCACATTCAGTAGTTGTACGTACACACATACAACACCTTCATGTAATAAATAACACGTGTGACGTTCAGTAGATGTACGTACACACATACAACACCTTCATGTAATAAATAACACGTGTGACGTTCAGTAGATGTACGTACACATACAACACCTTCATGTAATAAATAACACGTATCACATTCGGTAGATGTACACATACAACACCTTCATGTAATCAATAACACGTGTGACGTTCAGTAGATGTACGTACACACATACAACACTTTCATGTAATAAATAACACGTATCACATTCAGTAGTTGTACGTACACACATACAACACCTTCATGTAAGAAATAACACGTGTGACGTTCAGTAGATGTACGTACACACATACAACACCTTGATGTAATAAATAACACGTATCACATTCTGTAGATGTACGTACACACATACAACACCTTTATGTAATAATGACACGTATCACATTCGGTAGATGTACGTGCACACATACAACACTTTCATGTAATAAATAACACGTATCACATTCAGTAGATGTACGTACACACATACAACACCTTCATGTTATAAATAACATGTATCACATTCAGTAGATGTGCGTACATGTACACATATAGAAGACATTAATGTAATATAACCCATATCACACCCAGTGGTCCAGCTATGGGAGCCGAGTTCACACCTGCAGCCACTGTGGGCCTATGGGGCACAGTTCAACACTGAAGTTTGTATTGATCAGTTTTATTGTACGATACTCAACAGGCAGAAACGGACAACCAACAGTATGAATACACTTCTGTATGTTCTCGAGATTTTGCTAATCTAATATTTTCAAATTACACAGTCGTAAAAGGTTTTGAGAAACAGTCATGTCACATGCGGGAAATGTGTGTGCAATGTTACAATCGTCAGTCTTCATTTATTATTCAGATTAATGGCGGATTAAACTTACATGCCATGCTTGGGTTATCGTCTGATGAAGTCCCTCTCGAAAATATCGTCTGCTTCAAAAGTCGTCTGCTAACGACCTTCGTCAGTCAACGACACCCACGATTCCAGAGTCCAGGAATACAAAATACGAAAACAAATCCGTGTCCGAACCACCACGTCACGAGAGCTGTGTACAACCTCCGATATGTATGCCGTATGTGCGCCCAAATCAGTTTAAACGGGCGGGTCCATGACACAAATTCGCCCCCGGGAGGTGGTGATATAGGCAAGCATAAGCAATCGCCCGGGTTCAGCCCTGTATTCACAGCCGTGTTTGGATGAAGCAAACGGTTGATTCAGCGGAGACGTGGACACGGGTGAATGAATGACCTACAGTCTGTTTCAGAATGTGTCGCTCTCGCTGTTGTCGCTGGGAATATCCAACATTCCGAATCATTGATTATGCACACTACTGGTTTATGGTGTGGTTAGGAAAAGTGGTAGGTATTTCAGTGAGGGTAAAAATGTACGAAACCCCCGTGTTACCTTTAGTTTAAAGTTAATATTCCCCGCATGCGGCATAACACAAAGGATGTGCTATGGAGTGTTTCAGTATTTCTTGTCGCGGGTCGAATTTAGTCAAGTCACGTTCAATATGTGTGTGTGTACTGAATAAGTTATATTGGAATAATAGTGTTGCGATATTGTATGTATGTATGCATGCATGCATGCATGCATGCGCGTGCGTACATGTATGCATGCATGGATGGATGTGTGCGTGTATGCATGTGTGCGAGTATGTACACTTAGTATACCGTTTTGATTGACACCTCAGCCAACTAAGAAACCATATCGTTTTCTAACATGAACACCACACTGTGACGTAGTATGGCTCTGAACCGATCAGTAGCTAATCTGTCTCTTTATCATCGCGCTAGACATGGCAACAACATGTACCACAATTTAACGTCTTTAGTGACAGTACTCAGGGACATTGGTTGATGAAGCGGCCCGAGCAATGACAGGAGGCGAACACAGATCTTTGGCGTAACGGGTAAAGGAAGCAATGTGGTATCGTAACACTACAAGTGAACTAATTCAGCTTCAGGTTCAGTTGGGACATAACTTTTCAGTACATTGAAGCAAGTGAACTATTTACTACCTCACATGTTCATGTTTCGGAACTTCGTGAGACACTGGACTCATAGCGCGAGTTTTATTTAACTATGCATTCAGTGTGTTCAGAATCATTGAAGCAGAACTTCAATTACTGATCATTGAAGCAGAACTTGAACATGTACAAGAGCGACACCAACTACCCAGTGAGATGTGCGGTGGGAATGTTGATTCATGCCATGGAGACCCGCCGAGGTTAATACCGTTGCTCTTGGTAACACCTGGTAATTTCTAAAACTAATTCCCATGGCATATACTGGTAGATGGTTGGATGTCTGCAGTACCTAGGAAAGCAGACTGTTTGTTTGAAGAACGTAATGCGATGTATATAACACGTGTGATAAACACATTAACTGTCACCCTCCTCATACAACATCCGGGTGTGTGTCACCATCTGGTCGTCACTAGCGGACATCCAATGCACAATAGATAGCTACAATCTATTAACCAGGGGATACAGTGTGCGTTGTCTGCACGAGCTGGAGTGTTTACAAAATACATTAACAACGTTGTTCAACCTTTCTGTTGCTAGGTAACGTCCAAACAATGATGATATTTGATACGTTCATCATTGGTAGGTTAACATCACTGTGTACAGTTGTAATCATCCAACAATTGATATTAGATATGCTTATGTTATTAATGGAGATTGGTCTGCGATGAATTCAAAAATCATTAAACGCACCCCCGTTCGTCACAGATACAGAGGAACCTACAGTAAACTCAAGACTGATGATTGGATCCAAAGTTGGCATGTATACTGATTGGTGAGAACATAGAGATTTTTTCTGGGTTACATCTTCTTTTTATTCTCGAGTACAACGTTTCAGGGCTTGTTCTGGCCCCATCATCAGGTAAAACTGAACATCCGGATTGGTGGATGCCAGCAAGTTTATTGTTGGACTAGACAAACCTGTGGAGGAGGGGATGAACACTGACATGGGTCACGGAGTTGGAGAACGAGGACGGGTTATCACCATGGTTACAGTACAGTGGGATAATCCGTACGTCACTATTAAATGACGTCAATAATATCACTGTTCAGTTTTACCTGATGATGGGGCCAGAAGAAGCCCTGAAACGTTGTACTCGAGAATAAAAAGAAGATGTAACCCAGAAAAAATCTCTATGTTCATCAAATATCATCTTCTAAAATGCCAATCAAGCATCTAATTGGTGAGAGTTCGGAAAAGGCAGATTTGACTTGAAAAACCTAAATTTGATATCTGTTTGTCATCCTACACGGGGTGATATCGCCGTAAAACTTCATCACAAACGTTGCAAACCATTGTGACAACCATCTGTTACGTCACAATTGAATGACGTCAATAATCTCTCGGACACAGCAGGCACTGTTATTTTGTGTGTGTTTAGGGTGTTGCAATAATGGCTTTAGTGATAGATTTGATCTCCACGTCGTATATTTTATATAAAAAACACCAACACTGGGTGATAAGGTCATAACTGTGATTGAAGTGATCAAGTGAATGTAACTGAATGGTTTTGGTTTTAAGTGATACATTTATATCCCGGTCGTCTATGTGATATAGAAAATACCAACATTAGCTGATAAAGTTATAATTGTATGAAGTGATCGAGTGTAATGTAGCTGAAATTGTCTTAAATTGTAGACCAGGCTCTCGATGGAAGGCAAGCCATGGAGGTTTAAGCTTTCTTGTCGAATCGTTGCCATATTACATGTCAAAAGTCGTGTGAATATTTTCCTCAACACTTTGTGGGCAGTAAATGTCATCTCGTCCATAATGTGTCCCTTAAACAGAACTGCTATGGACCGTCACCGTGTTGTCGGAGTCGTAGGACATCCACGTCAACAGTTTCGTCAGCTAAACAGACCTAGGTGGCATGAACCCCACTGTACTGTAACCATGGTGATAACCAGTCCTCGTTCTCCGACACCGTGATTCATGTCAGTATGCTTCACATCCTCCTCGTGTTTGTCTAGTCCAACAATAAACAGGCTGGCATCCAGCATCATGCAGCCTGACTAATTATTACCTGCACAAACTGTGCGTGTGATTGTGAAGTGTTGATGTCCGTTTATCAGAGAGTGAGTGAGTTTAGTTTTACGCCGTACTCTGCAATATTCCAGCTAAATGGCGGAGGTCTGTAAATAATCGAGTCTGGACCAGACAATCCGGTGATCAACAGCATGAACATCGATCTACGCAATTGGGAACCGATGACATGTGTCAAGCAAGCCAGCGAGCCTGACCACCTGATCCCGTCAGTCGCCTCTGACGACAAGCATGGATTACTGAAGGTTCTATCTAATCCGGACCTTCACGGGCCTGTCCGTTTATCAAGTTGTTTTTAACTTGTTGTTTGAAATCACGCAGAGCGGAACAATGTGACTCGTGACGCATGCCAACAACAGTAAACGCGTAGTACAACAAGGTGCGTCCCCTCCCACCGGTGGTTATGTCGTAACCCGTTGGGTATATGTCATTTATTGATCACTGATACAGATAGATATGCTTCAGCGATCAGCCGGACCCTGGGGTGAGATGCTATAAATAATGCCTTGTTTGTGTTTGTGACTGTTTATTGGGGGGCGGGGCATCTTCAGGCGCTGTCCACATGAACCGAATGTTACTTAGCAGGGGCGGATATAGCATTTTTAGAAAAATGGTGCACAGTTCAGAAAGATTGGCGCACAGTTCATCGTCACCCGTTTTCACGAGAGTTTCAATAATCATTTAATACGCTTAGGACGACCAAAGACGATGCAGGTACCAGCAAATTTGTCATCCAACTCGAGGGAGAGTGTCGAGTGAATAAAGGAGAGAAGAGAGAGGGAGAAAGAGAGACAGGGGGAGATTGAGGGAGAGAGAGTGAAAAGGAGAGACGAGAGACACAGAGAGGGGCAGATAATGAGAGATAGAGAGAGAGGGAGGAGTGAGTGAGTGAGTTTAGTTTTACGCCGCACTCAGCAATATTCCAGCTATATGGCGGCGGTCTGTAAATAATCGAGTCTTGACCAGGCAATCCAGTTATTAACAACATGAGCAACGGTCTACGCAATTGGGAACAGATGACATGTGTCAACCAAGTCAGCGAGCCTGACCACCCGATCTCTTTAGTCACCTCTTACGACAAGCATGGGTTACTGAAGATCAATATTCTAACCCGGACCTTCACGGGTACGAGATAGATAGGGAAAGGGAAAAGGAGAGAGAGAGAGAGAGAGAGAGAGAGAGAGAGAGAGAGAGAGAGAGAGAGAGAGAGAGAGAGAGAGAGAGGAGAGAGAGAGGAGAGAGAGAGAGAGAGAGAGAGAGAGAGAGAGAGAGAGAGAGAGAGAGAGAGAGAGAGAGAGAGAGAGAGAGAGAGAGAGAGAGAGAGAGAGAGAGAGAGAGAGAGAGAGAGAGAGAGAGAGAGAGAGAGAGAGAGAGAGAGAGAGAGAGAGAGAGAGAAAGAGAGAGAGAGAGAGAGAGAGAGAGAGAGAACGCGGAGAGAGTGGGGAAGGGAGGAAAAGAAAAGACATAGATACGAGAAGACTGACAGGGACAGAGAGGATACGAGAGAGACTGACAGGGATGGAGTGAGAAGGAGAAAGAGAGTCTGAGATAGCGAGATCACAGTCTTGTTACACAGGAGTATCTTCAATATCACCACGGTTACGGTGGCAGGTTTGTTTACCAAGTGGAGGGTTTGGACAGGGAGATCGACGAGTGTATCATGGTCAGCTTCCTGAAACAGACTATACACCGCAGTTAGTCTGCTTGTGTTCACGATTGATCTCTGAATTTCAATGTATGGATTTCTTGCAACATCTGCCCAGCCCCACCTGTAGACAGACTCTTACATTACGGTGCTGCTTGAGCCGGCGGAGCCTTTGTCCTGTCACCCGGTTCCGAATGGACAACGCCTCGCCTGTATATTACACATTCAATATTGTATGTTTCTTTAGTTTGGTGTGTCAAGAAACGCAGTCACGTTTATACACGCCCTTCAATGTTGTCGGCTGAATCAGGGCTTGTAAAATTTGTGAGGACTTTGAGCGGAATATATGTCAGTTGGACTAAACCCATACATCTGATAATTGGTGGAACGGCCGAAGTGATGCAGGTTTTAAACGTCTTCCTTGTTTTGGGTCAAACCTACGATCATGGGCGGGGTACTAACAAACCTAGATTCATAATATGAGTAAATCTGGGATTCGAACTGCCTATCATATCAAAGGTACGTAACTCTCTGGACTATGCTTCCCTTTGAACGATCTTCCGATAACTGATCAGTGGGATCGAGTGGTGAAAGCCAGCAATACTCGCTCGCTCACTCACTCACTCACTCACTCACTCACTCACTCACTCACTCACTCACTCACTCACTCACTCATCAGAGACTAAGAGTCTGACCAGTCACGTGATACCTGGAATGTCAATTGTACTATAGCAGCCATGCCGCCTACAGCGATTTGCCATAAACCATCCCTTTGCATATTCAAGATCAAAGATTCCATTTCGTCATGCTGCATTGACAAACAAACTGAATGTCTCCTATCTGCCTGTAATTAAACAAAGACTCATTCATCACGCTTTTCAGTTTACTGGAAGTCAACTGTCTAGTTTCACTAAGTGCAGATTGTATAAACATATTATTGATACTTTCACTTTGCAATATTATCTTCAAAAATCAATTCCTGCAATTTATACAAATAAATATTTGACTTAATTTCGACTCTCTTCACATAACTTATATATTGAAACAGGAAGGTATAATAATATTCACATGAACAATAGAACATGTCTGTCCTGTCTCAATGATATAGAGGATGAATTCCATTTTGTATTAAAATGTCCAGTTTATCAAGATTTAAGGAAATTGTATATTAAGCCTTACTATTGGAAAAATCCATTAGTTTTCAAACTTGTCCAGCTCTTGAGTATCCAAAATGTTCAGCAACTCTGTAATCTGGGTAATTTCCTATTCAAGGCTTCACAGTTAAGACTAACTTTACTGTAAAATGTGTTTGTATATTCTCCTTTTGTTTGTTTATATATTGTACCAAACCAACCACCGTGTCTGTACTAAGAATGTATATTTTCATGTCTCACAACCGATTAGCTGTACAGCTAAAGGTAAATAAAGAATTGAAATTGAATTGACTAGTCACGTGATACCGGGAATGTTAATTGTACCGTAGGTGCCATGCCGCCTACAGCGATTTGCCATAAACCATCCCTTTGCTTATTCAAGATCAAAGATGCCATATTGTCATGCTGCATTTACACACAATGCCAGTACATATAAGCCTACGTCTTCATATGTTCTTTTCAAACTAGGAAAGAGAACATCGTGGCTTGAAATACAAAACGAAAATACCGCGCACTTCCAGCGCCCATTGTCTGCGTATTCCAATAAAATAGATATTTAGGTGGATATGTGAGAATTGGTGACGACACCCGGTGTATGTGAACAAAAGCCTGTCGTAGGAACTTAATGGTTGGAATACCTTTGGACTGGACAATGCAGACATGTCTCTCCGCAGATATGTTTTCGTACAGGTATTTAGGTTACCTCTATCTGAGGTTAACTCCACCGCAGATCACTAATGTATAGGGAGTGGCGGAGTGTTGGAAACTTTGGTTCAACACAATCATGGTCCAGTGTCGATTGGGGTGGGAAGCCATCGGGGTGGGTGGGAAGCCATCGGGGGTGGTGGTGGGAAGCCATCGGGATGGTGGTGGGAAAGCCATCGGGATGGTGTGGGAAGCCATCGGGGTGGTGGTCGGAACTTGGTGGGAAGCCATCGGGATGGTGATGGGAAGCCATCGGGATGGTGGTGGGAAGCCATCGGGACGGTGGTGGTGGGAAGCCATCGGGATGGTGGTGGGAGAGGTGGTGGTGGTGGAGGGATCGGGTGGTGGTGGGAAGCCATCGGGACGGTGGTGGTGGGAAGCCATCGGGACGGTGGTGGTGGGAAGCCATCAGGGTGGTGGTGGGAAGCCATCGGGACGGTGGTGGTGGGAAGCCATCGGGATGGTGGTGGGAAGCCATCGGGGTGGTGGTCGGAACTTGGTGGGAAGCCATCGGGATGGTGGTGGGAAGCCATCGGGACGGTGGGAAGCCATCGGGATGGTGGTGGTGGGAAGCCATGGACGGTGGTGGGAAGCCATCGGGATGGTGGTGGGAGGGGTGGTGGTGGGAAGCCATCGGGACGGTGGTGGTGGTGGGAAGCCATCACGGTGGTGGTGGGGACGGTGGTGGTGGGAAGCCCATGGTGGGAAGCCATCGGGTGGTGATGGGAAGCCATCGGGATGGTGGTGGGAAGGGAAGCCATCGGGACGGTGGTGGTGGGAAGCCATCGGGATGGTGGTGGTGGGAAGCCATCGGGACGGTGGTGGTGGGAAGCCATCAGGGTGGTGGTGGGAAGCCATCGGGATGGGAAGCCATCAGGGTGGTGGGGGAAGCCATCGGGATGGTGGTGGGAGGGGTGGTGGTGGGAAGCCATCGGGATGGTGGTGGGAAAGCCATCGGGATGGTGTGGGAAGCCATCGGGACGGTGGTGATGGGAAGCCATCGGGATGGTGGTGGGAGGGGTGGTGGTGGGAAGCCATCGGGACGGTGGTGGTGGGAAGCCATCGGGACGGTGGTGGTGGGAAGCCATCGGGGTGGTGGTGTCAGGTGAAAGCAGTGTTGAGACCTGCTTGGATTTATATGCCGGAAAGATGCACATAGGCACGTGTCAAATTCCCATTTAATCTTAGCGTATTTGAAGGAAATTAAACTATATGATAGAAGTAAATTTTTCTGAAAGTCAGGTTTTACTGTTTACTGTGAAAAGGACCGGCGTTTTAGTGATCTTTGTCATCACTTTTATTCTTATTAGTATATACAGGGAAATATATGCTTTCTAACCTCGAATAGCTGCAAATCTGCTGATGCGGCCTTAAGCAACATTTACTCACTACCCTCACCTGTTGGAGATTTGACCAAGAAAACAAACAAACAAGCAGCCCGATTATGTCTCTTTCCTCTAAGTTTCAACACCTGATTCAACATGACTTGAAGCACCACAATGTGTGACTTAATGTTCTTGTGTACATTAGGCTTGACATAAATCTTGTAGTAAATTATTATTAATAGAGCAATCATATTGTGTATAGGCTAATCTTCGGGCCAGCGAGATACCTATATTATTAGCGAGATACCTATATCATCAGCGAGATACCTATGTCATCAGCGAGATACCTACATCATCAGCGAGATACCTATATCATCAGCGAGATACCTATATCATCAGCGAGATACCTATATCATCAGCGAGAGACCTATATCATCAGCGCGATACCGTTATCATCAGCGAGATACCTATGTCATCAGCGAGATACCTATATCATCAGCGAGATACTCATATCATCGAGATACCTATATCATCATCATCGAGATACCTATATCATCGAGATACCTATATCATCAGCGAGATACCAATATCATCAGCGAAATACCTATATCATCAGCGAGATACCTAAATCATCGCGATACCTATATCATCAGCGAGATACCTATATCATCAGCGAGATACCTATATCATCACCGAGATACCTATATCATCACCGAGATACCTATCATCAGCGAGCTCGAGATACATATATCATCAGCGAGATACCTATATCATCAGCGAAATACCTGCATTATCAGCAAGATACTTATATCATCGAGAAACCTGTATTATCATCGAGAAACCTATATCATCGAGATACCTATATCATCATCATCGAGATATCTATATCATCGAGATACATATATCATCAGCGAGATACCTATATCATCAGCGAGATACCTATATCATCGAGATATCTATATCATCGAGATACCTATATCATCAGCGAGATACCTATATCATCAGCGAGATACCCATATCATCAGCGAGATACCTATATCATCAGCGAGATACCTATATCATCGAGATACCTATATCATCAGTGAGATACCTATATCATCAGCGAGATACCTACATCATCAGCGAGATACCCATATCATCAGCGAGATACCTATATTATCAGCGAGATACTTATATCATCAGCCAGATACTTATATCATCGAGGTATCTGTATCATCATCATCGAGATACCTATATCATCGACATACATATATCATCAGCGAGATACCTATGTCATCAGCGAGATACCTATATCATCAGTGAGATACCTATATCATCAGCGAAATACCTATATTATCAGCGAGATACCTATATCATCACCGAGATACCTATATCATCACCGAGATACCTATGTCATCAGCGAGACACCTATATCATCATCAAGATACATATATCATCAGCGAGATACTTATATCATCAGCGAGATACCTATATCATCGAGATACCTTTATCATCATCGAGATACCTATATCATCATCGATATACCTACATTATCAGCGAGATACCTATATCATCAGCGAGATACCTATATCATCGAGATACCTATATCATCAGCGAGATACCTATATCATCAGCGAGATACCTACATCATCAGCGAGATACCCATATTATCAGCGAGATACCTATGTTATCCATTCCCACGCTTGAGTGATGCTGCATGACACCACCGTACACCGAATACACAAAAGAAGATCTACCCATTGTGATGTTTGTGTCAACCATTGTGATTTTTCAATGTCAACCATTTCAATATTTCTGTGTCATCCATTGTGACGTTTTGTGTCAACCATTGTAATATTTCTTTGTCAACGATTGTGACGTTTTTTGTGTCAACCGTTGTGATGTTTCTCTGTCAACCATTGTGATATTTCTGTGGCAACCAGTGATATTTCTGAGTCAAACAGTGTTATATTTCTTTGTCAACCACTAAATGTTTCCATGGCAATCATTCTGGTGTTTCCGTGTCAACAATTGCGTTTTTTTAAATCTGCCCTTTCATTAAGAATGAGTCAAAACCAAGAGGACGTGAAATGTCAAGGACATGAGATGTTCCGTGGTCTGCAGATTGTTGGTTTCTACATACAGGCCTGTATAATCACTCAGCATTAGTAAATATGCCACCATCGTATTAGACTAATGCTTAGTCTCTGAATATATATAATTTTGATAGTAACAAACAAGTCCATTTAAATTGAAAAGGAGCCCCAGGGAGACCAGAGATTCAGAGACTAAGAACATCTGCATTGGGGCTACACGTGCTGGGGTCATTACCAATTAGAAGTCACATCATACAACCATCAGATAACGGTATAAGTGACAGGCATATTTATTGACCCTCTGGTTAAGCCCTGTCCATCTCTATGCTGTCATCACCTCATGTGAGTCAGTCAAGCCCCCCTACTGCCTAACAGTTTACAGTTTGGAAACTTGCAGCCCACAATGTCACTTAAAGACTAGATGACCAAAGTGCAAGATCTATCTGGAACACCAACAAAATTATTTATGAATTTGAACTTAACTCAAAATTCAAAAGTTTTCATTTGTATAATATGAGAAGAGGATATAGACAAACCCCTTTTTTGAAACAAACTGTTCAATGGAAGTAAAAAGACGAGCCTCTGTCGTATGCTTGAAGATGTTCTGGATATTTCTTGACACATGTCATCGTATCCTGAACCTGAGGAATCTAGACTTGCTTTATTGAGAGCTTTGGCACTGCAGAGAGGCTTGGCAGTAGGGAAAATAGTGTGGTTCAGGGACTGTGAGACAGACTAGCATCGTATCTGTGGAAGTGCTCAGCCTTCAACAAACAACGGAGAGAGTGGAGTGAATTAAACAGCGCAACCTGCCATGACGATTTTAATCGATCATGATGGTTGGTTTGTCGGCCCGCAGGCTTCAGATAAGGGCCGTATCGGCGTATGTACGGATACAAAAAATATGCATGAAACGGTAAGAAATAATTTAGAAAACGTAGCAGATACGCACCACAGCAATGGTGTACGGTCTTAGAATCATTTACAGACGTATTTATCTGAAAAAGTATTGTTTTATTGTTCATTGACCTGTTTACACAAGAGTTCCAATGTTGTGGTGCATATATGAAACGAAATACAAGATTACTGATACTCCATTAAATTCCATTCAGTACCCTAAATGTACACTTAGGTTTTCCAGTACTCCTGTGTTGGAGTACGTACTCCAGACGTTATCTGGAGCCCTGCGGCGCGTGTTAGATCTCGATGGTTTTACGAACGGTAAAGGTGGGTGACACTATAGCTTTAGGTTTGTTATGTTTCCAAAGGTTCATATTACTGAAGGTCATGTGAGCTACTCGAAAAACATTCATCTTAATCATTTTTGACATTGCATAACTCTTTGTTTTACTTCTGATAACATCGTCTTCCGTTATCTGTTCCTCAGTATCCATGCTTGAGGGGACACACGTGCTGCCTCGTTATCACATGACTCACCTGGTTTAAACAATAACCGTCATCTGGATGATCTGTAAATATTATAAACGGGCAGGACACACGCGATAAGGGGTCATCTCCTGGTCAAGACTGTCCTCCTCGGGGCACCAGCTATCACACGTGACCATCAATTACCCAGTGAGCCCCGATGGTGCGTGTGTACGACAACAGCAGGTGCTTGGTATATGTGGCGGTGTCTGTGCCAGCACAGGACAGGGAACGGCAACCGTGACACCATCTCAGTTGTCACCTGAGGACGTGTTATAATGTGTCTCTTATGACGCTATGCGCAAGAAAAACAGCTTTGAAAAGTGACTGTCAGAGACTTCGGAGCCCAAATCTAATGCTCCCCTCACCCAACATGTAACCATGAAGGTTCTCTATTGGCGCACAGGGCTTGTATTGCTGAAGAATATACGTCCTAGGTCTGACACTCGTTCACTGACTGTCATCTGCATACATATAGTGGTTGAAATAAACTACAATGAACAACTATCTCAGATTGAAAGGCAAATGAACATGTGGTCAGCTTGTACCATAACCCTGTATGGAAGAAATACTGTTCTTAAATCACTTCTACTACCTAAGCTTGACCACCTATTCTCAGCTCTACAAAAAGTGTTTAACTTCATATGATAAAAACAGACCTGATAAGATTGAGAGATGTAATTATGCTAAATCCGGAGCATGTTTGCGTGTGTGTGTGCGGGTGCGTGCGTGCGTGTGTGTGTGGAAACTTCAAACAATAGAAAAAGAATAAGTGGCCATAACGTAACTCGAGTGGACGTTTCTCTGTACCAGTCAATTCTATAATCAGGACTCCACTTTTGCTTACGGATAGTTGATGCATACAAAATGCAACAATTTTCCTCAACTAACTGCTTTTGGAAAGACATACTTTAAGAATGGTCAAACTATATATCCATGCGTAAAAGATAAATTGCAAATGAAGAAGAGATACAATGCTAATCCTTATGGAACAACGACAATATTAGAATTGATAATCATCTCTATCTGCATCTTGAATGGTATAAACAAGGTGTTGTTTTGTGAATGATTTGCTTCAATGAAGAAGGCAGACTGTTTACATATGAAGAATTGTCCAATACGTTCAATAAAACTTTTTTTAACGTATTTTTTGAATCGGTGAAATGAGTCATTATGACATATGCTCGAATACTGGACATAAAGCAGTTTAAAAAGAAATTATGCGTTCCCAATTTATCCCTTTAATTTCTTAAGAATTAATACTATAAATGGGAGTAAAACTCTATATGCCTCCCTCTTGAACGCAAAATTTATTCCCTTTCCAGGCTTTTCCAAATGGGAAAGAGTTATACAGAGTGATTTTACTGAAAATGACTGGAAATGTTTTTACATTATCATGATTATTGCAAATATACATGTTCGCGAAACATAGACTTGGAATGGTTCCGATATAGAATTATTCACAATGTCCTCCCAACAAGACGATTACTTTATAAAATGGGATATACATCTTCAATAAAATATTGAATATATATCGGTCTTTAAATTATGGAAAGAAATAGAATCATGGCTGAACTCAGTATAGTTACAACTGGAATTTACAAATATATTTTGTCCGTCACTATGACATATCAAGATATGTTGGTTTTTTTCTCCTATCAACGGGAACTGAGCAATTTATTTTTTTTCAATATTGGTCAATTTGACATGTATTGCTTGGAAAACACTCCTGACTACAACCTAAGTGGAATGTATCAGCCAATTGTACATTGTATACATGTACCATTGTATTATCCTGACTCTTTTCTATACATGTTTGCCTGTACCTGAAATATCGAAAATAAAAAAATGTATTATTTTCTACAATACAAGCCCTGTGTATTGGCATGGGTGAAGGCATATTTTTGTTTGGATGCTTCGATGAAACTGGTGCAATCGTTCGATGAAAGATGGTCCAATCGCCCTGGACCATTATATCGTTGATGTTCATTATCCACTGTACCACGGTGTCATATCCCAATTGCGTAGATCGATGTTCATGCTGTTGATCCCTGGACTGTCTGATCCAGACCCGATTATTTACAGACCCCCGCTATATATCCTGAATATTGCGTGGGGCGTAAAACTAAAGTCACTCACTCAGTGTACCACGTGGGCGCTCTTCCCTCTTACTGTAGCATGTCTCTTGAGACGTCGTCGCCTACTTCTTTCTTACTTTCCCGTTGTTCGGTTCGCTAGAGTATGAGTTTATGTTGTCAAATTGGCAAGTAAATCACGGTAAAACACTGCAAGCCTGACTGGCTGGTTGTTGAAGGTATTGTTGGATGAAAGCATTGGAATCCTGAGTACCTGTGAATCCACGTGGGCAGCCCGGATCCTCGGACAGGTTGATACGCCACGGGGCGATACGTTGATACGCCATATTATTAAAACCAATAAATTCACCCAAATCGATATGTGAAGTGTTTACACACAGATAGCACACATGTACAGACAGACAGGGGTCAGGGGGTCAGGGGTCAGGGGGGGGCCGTGCCGTTAGCGGCCGGCAACTCGCTTTCATTGGGTGTTCTTGTAGCAATACGGCAGCCACACTTCATTTTGATGATTGGTCGACCCGTGAACATTCGGGATAGAACTGATCTTCAGCAACCCATGCTTGTCGGAATATACCCAGACTCACTAACTTGGTTGACACATGTCATCGTATCCCAATTGCGTAGATCGATGTTCATGATGTTGAACACTGTTTTGCCTGGTCCAGACTCAATTATCTACAGACCGCCGCCACATAGCTGCAAAACTGCTGAGTGCGGCGCTAGGCACTGATCAATCAATTAGTGAGTGAGTGAATGAGTATGGTTTTGTGCCGCTCTGAGCAATATTCCAGCAATATCACGGCGGGGGCCACCAGAAAGGGGCTTCACACAGTGTATCAATGTGGGAAATCGAACCCTGGTCTTCGGCGTGACGAGCCAACGCTTTAACCATTAGGCTACCCCACCGCCCCAGGGACAAAAGGACTGACAGGGCAATTTCTTTAAAACAATCCTCATGTCACTAGACTACCACAGCGCCCCTAATCAATCTACGCTGGTTCGAGGCGACTAACGGGGTTGGGTGATGAGACTCAGATACTAGGGTAACCTAGTGGTTAAAGTGTTCGCTCGTGACGCAGACGACCCGGGTTCGATGCCCACATGGGTACAATGGGTGAAGCCTCTTTCTGGTGTGCCCCGAGGTGATATTGCTGGAATATTGCGGTGTAAAACAAAACTCACTCACTCACTTAGATACTTGGTTGATGCATTTAATCATTTTGTAATGCGAAGACCAATGCTCATGATGTCCATCACTGGATTGTCGGATTCAGACTATCAGAGATAGAAGAGTGTTGAGTAAGACAATAACCACACCAGCAAAGTCATTTTCGATAAAAGGGTCAAACTGTAATATTATTTCTCTTCTGAAATATAATTTAAGATATATATTTAGCTCCTCTGGAAACTGGGTCATGTTGTTGTTTTGAGGAGTGAATCATGCAAAGAGTGAGTGAGTGAGTGAGTATGGTTTTACGCCGCTTTTAGCAATATTTCTAGCAACATCACGGCGGGTGACACCAGAAATTGGCTTTACACAATGTACCATGTGGGGATTCGAACCCGGGTCATCGGCGTGGGAAGCGAACGCTTTAAACACTAGGCTACCCCACCGTCCCTGAATTATGCATAGAGATATGCAACGTATGACATCATCTCGAAGTTAAAGCCGCCATACTATTCTGCTTGTCAACGATCAGCCAGCTCCCGTGGAACGTGCGTCACAGTGACGTCAGGTGTCACATACCAATAGAACGGTGCCGGGGACATTATCGCCATCTTACATTCTCCAGCATGTGGGTATTAACTCGATTCATGGCGGCTGGACATGCGCACAACGGTAACAATCAGTGTGCCCCTGAGCATCGTTGTGTGACTTGAGAAATCTCTGTTTGTGTAAAATGTATAAGTATTGTCTAAAATAACTTCATACCAACAAAGAAAGAAACAAATAAAAATGCAACAACATATAAATCGAAAACACAGCTCTTGAAAGTTCTTGAGAGGCATTTAGAAGTTGGACGAACATGAAAAATACATGACACGCTTTATAGAGAAAAAGTTCTTGCTGTTCTTTGTACGACGTTTCAGAGGTAACTCTTGTCCGTTCATCAGGTGAATGCTGAACAATTAGTATCCCAAACTCTTCTCCTGGAGGTTGTTATGCATTAGGAACGCACTATGGTTGAGGAAAACAGTATACTTTTGATTGTGTGAATGTTTCGAGATTGTTTTCTTCCACCAAACGTCAGGCAGGGTAACATCAAGTACCATATTTTAATGCATTTTGGTATGAAAGAGACAAAGAGACAATTTATGTGCTTTCACATTTGAAACATGTTCAGTTTAAATGTAAGCTGGAAATGTCAAGATACACATAATTGTCACCAAGCATTTGTCAGAAACCCTGATGAAGAGTGAACGCGCCTTAAATTCAATAAAACAGGTGAAGGATCAGTCACATATATAATCATTTATTTGCCGGTATTTGTTACAATGTTACTAATGTCTTTGAGTGGATACTCGTCATTCGCTGTTACAACTTGTTGCGGGGCATGGCAGAGCTACCTCCCTTGCTGTGGAACGGCTTGAGAGGGCTGAATCCCACGATAGTAGGTGTCTCCCAGAAAACATGTCTGGTCAATATCTTTTACATGTACCACAGCCTTTCGAATATACTATAAAACATAGATAGCATATTTTCATGAAGATTTTAAGCAAACGTTAAAAACTGCAAAACTGAATGTTGCATGACATAGACAAACATAATGGATAGCAACTTCTTTGTTTCTTTATTTCGTGAATGTAACGTTTGTATACTACATTATTGTACAGTTATATCGGATCTGCATCGAAACATTGCCCTCACGAAACTAACAAGTTTGCATCCACAAAGTTTGTCTTTATTGTAGCTTCCTGCTTCTAGGAAGTGAATGTTGCATTGTGGGAAGGGACATGTCTTTATCTGTGTAGAGGCTTAAACCCGATTTAACGTGGAGAACAGGGTAATGGAGTGAATAATCAGTATAACGAAGCGAATATAATCAGTTACAGCAAGGCGAATAGTCAGTTATAACGATGCAAGAATAACTTCTTCAAGAGGTATTTTAGAAGTTGTATAGATGAAGGAAAACCAAGTTCTATAGATAGTCAACTTCTATATTGCAAAAAGTTCGACGTTTAACGGAAAACTTTGTATCACTTGCTTGATAACGGTGTTAGTACCTACGTTGAAACGTTGCACTCATTGCTATAAATAAGCTGACTATCCATATAACTTGGGTTTCCTTGATTCGAGAATAGCCTGTTATAACGATGCGAGAACATTCCGTTATAACAAAATGAGAGTAGCCTGTTATAACAAGTGAAAACATTCGGTTATAACAAAATGAAAGTAGTCGGTTATAACAAAGTGAAAGTAGTCAGTTACAACAAAATGAAAGTAGTTGGTTATAACAAGTGAAAGTTGTCAGTTATAACAGAGCGAAAGTAGTCGGTTATAACAAAGTGAAAGTATTCCGTATAACAGAGTGAAGGTAGTCGGTATAACAAGTGAACGTATTCCGTTATTACAAAGGGAAACTAATCGGTTATAACAAAGTGAAAGTAGTCAGTTATAACAAAGGGAAAGTAGTCATTATAAGAAAGTGAAAGCAGTCGCTTATTACAAAGTGAAAGTAATCGGTTATAACAAAGTGAAAATAGTCCGTTATAACAAAGTGAAACTAGTCCGTTATAACGAAGTGAAAGTAGTTATAACAACGTGAAAGTACTCCGTTACAACAAAGCGAAAATAGTCCGTTACAGCAAAGCGAAAATGGTCCGTTACAGCAAAGCGAATAGTCAGTTATAGCGGGCGAAATAGACAGTGACACGAATAGTGAGTCTCATCGATGATAGAATGTCAGCTATAAGGAGCGTAAAATGGTCCGTTATAACGAAGCGAAATTAATATGGCGAAACTAAATGCGTACGTGTGGGAATGAACCATTGGAGTTCGATATAATGGGTCAACACAGTGACCCAGCCTTTCCCATATTGTTACCAACGCATTTCTTTATTGGTTGAAATGAACACAAAGTCGCTGAGAGTGATGACATGATCTAGGCAGGAGGGGTGCACGTGAGCTTAAACCCTGGCCAGCCCGCTGCTTTCTGTGAGGTATCTCCTGTAAGCGTTGTACAGCTTCATGAAGTTCTGTGGGTTGGTGATGTTGAATTCTCTGAAAGAAACCCAAGGTGTATGAAGCGACATATACGTGTATGAATGTGGGTGTGCGCTTGTGTGTGTGTGTGTGTGTGTGTGTGTGAGAGAGAGAGAGAGAGAGAGAGAGAGAGAGAGAGAGAGAGAGAGAGAGAGAGAGAGAGAAAAGAGAGAGAGAGAGTGTGTGTGTGCTGGTGTCTGTGAGAGTGTGCTGGTGTGTGTGAGAGAGTGTGTGTGTTGGAGCGTGTGTGTGAGAGAGTGTGTGCTGTTGTGTGTTTGTGTGTGAGAGTGTGCGTGCTGGTGTGTGTGTGTGCATGCGCGCTGGTGTGTGTGTGTGTGAGAGAGAGAGAGAGCTCGTATGTGCTATCGCTTTTACGGAATCAGCATACTTATTCATTGTTTTCATTTACAGGGCAAATTGTGTGAATCTCAAGTCACGATAGCGTGTTATTAATTCACTACTGACCTGACGGGAACTTGCATATAAGTTATATTCAGACCGACAGCTGGGACGTACACACTATATTCAATCCTTACACTAACACGGCCTATTGCCAGCACGTTCAACCTTCTACATATCTCACCTCTGTACCTCCCTCTGGAACAGATAGTCTCCAGTACCTCCAGTCATGCCTCGTCCGAGCTTCCCAGTAGACACTGTAGCCACGCCCCCTCCTCCACCAGAACTCGACATCATCGACATGGCTCCTCCCCCTCCAGAGCTTGACATCATGGCTCCTCCCCCTCCAGAGCTTGACATCATGGCTCCTCCCCCTCCAGAGCTTGACATCATGACCCCTTCCCCTCCAGAGCTTGACATCATGGCTCCTCCACCTCCAGAGCTTGACATCATGGCCCCTTCCCCTCCAGAGCTTGGTATCATGGCTCCTCCCCTCGGGACATGGTGCCGCCTCCTACGGCACTAGTTATCAAGCCGGAACCACCGGAATTTGACATCTTTCCACCAGAGCTCGACCTCATTGAACTGCGGACTTCGGATCTCGACGTTGTATTAGCACCTCCTCCAGAACTCGACATCACAGAGCCCAGTCCGCCAGCATTTGACAGTATGTTCATGCCACTTCCCCCTCCAGTAGTCTTGATGACGATTCTGCGAGTGGAACCAGATCCTGAAGAGCCTTGTCCACCAGTTGCCAAGAATTGTCTCCCCTTTGTTCCTCGAATCGAGAGATTTCTGCCCTCCATCATGTTCGAAGAGATTTGACTTTCTTCCGCGAGATTGGACATGAATCTCTCTGTTCCGCCGGAGATTGTCTGCCTCCCAAGTGTACCACTTGATAATTGTCGAAGGTGTGTGCCACCTGACGCTGTTTGTCTCCCTTTAATTGACAGTTGTCTGCCACCAGAGGCCGCTCCAAAACCTGTTATTCCTTGGATCATATCCAACAACCTTGACCCAAGCCCACCGGAAGTGTTATAGCTTGTTGTTGTTGACCTTGTTGTGTTCTTGTTGCCGGCTTTGTCAAACGTCGTTGTGGTTCTCTGATTTGTTTCCTTCACAACCTGAATCTTCTTCAGTTTTCCCATGCTTCCTGTGTCCAGGGCAACTCTCCTCAGGGTTCCACCACTAACAAGAGCGGACGATTCGTCATGTTTTCTCCGAACCAGGGTAGTGGAGGTTGTATCCCCTCCGTGACTATATCCGCCAGACCTGTCATAGGAACTGTTATTTTCCGCCACAGAGGTCATCACCCTTGACTCCTGGCTGTTGAATCCCGAATCACCTGTTGCATCGTGCTTGGCGCTCCTGGACATCGCGTCTCCATGGAAGAAGAAGTCCCCTGAAATGTTCCCTCATGTTACTGGATATTCCAATATCAAAGTATAGTATTCTACAATATAATTCCATCTTTCATCGATATCAGTGTTTCTTTTTATTGTGGGTTCGAACCCCGGTTAACCCTTTTGATTTTACGATGGTTTAACTAGCCTGTTAATGTCTACATTATGGTTTAACCAGCCTGCTAATGTCTGAGAGCTGCACCCCGCCTATGTTATGGTTTAACCAGCCTGCTAATGTCTGAAAGCTGCATCCCGCTTACATTATGGTTTAACCAGTCTGCTAATGTCTGAGAGCTGCATCCCGCCTACATTATGGTTTAACCAGCCTGCTGATATCTGAGAGCTGCATCCTGTCTACATTATGGTTTAACCAGCCTGCTGATATCTGAGAGCTGCATCCTGTCTACATTATGGTTTAACCAGGCTGCTAATGTCTGAGAGCTGCATCCCGTCTACATTATGGTTTAACCAGCCTTCTGATATCTGAGAGCTGCATCCCGTCAAATCAGAATACAACATTCTCATACAAGTTTAACTCCAGGATCTGCACAATGACACAGTGAGGCCTCTACAAGAACACGCACCTGTTGCATCTTCCACGCCACTGCTGACTCCACCTCCCCGCATCCTGGTCCCAGTGTGCTCCTCGGCCGACGACATCTTGTAGTACCCCCCGCCATATCCTATACCTGACCCTGAGGCAAGTCCTTCTCCGCCAGATCGTCCCCCGCCTGAACCGAGCCCGCGTGACCCAGCACCGTATCCAAGTCCATCAGATGACATCCCGGCCCAGCCTCCCGTCTCCAGCTCCTTGATCTTGGCATCAAACTGGTCCTCGGGGATGCTACACATAAAACCATCGAGTGTCAAGGAGTGTTCGTTTGTCGTGTGGCACAACACTGAGTAATATCACAGCTATATGACGGAGGCATGTAAAGGATTGTTTTTGGACTAGATAATAGATAATACCAGGTTAAAATAGACGCTCTCGTGGACGATAAAGCAAATTCACGTTCCCGGGCCTGATCACTGCATCCTTTACTTAGGACCAGCACGTTGTGCCTATAGCTATTCTAACAAAGAATAACTTTGATCTAACCATGTTAAGAATGGGCTTAAAGTTTGTACGACGTTCGAGGAGAATAGCTAGCCAGTTCCATAAGTGCCGATTTCACCCGGGGCCGGGGCTGTAGCCCATGGCCAGTGGTTAAAGGGCTCGCGCGTCAGGCCGTTGGGCCGTGTTTCTATTGTAAAATAATTAACTGGCTTGACATGACGCAGCTAGTCACGTTGTGAATTATGAAAGTTTGAGAAAAGAAAAGTTTTGATGATAATAAAAGCCAACAAAATAACGCATGCCGCTTCCCTGACTAGTATATATGCCCATCACAATACAGCTTCCCTCTGTAGCCTAGTAGCCTACCCTTTGAATGTGTCCAGCCATGCACGGGGAAGCTTGTAGTCTCTGAAACATGCCAGAAAACACATTAATGATACTTTGAAATGTTGAAGTATATAACATGATGGACATTATTACCTCGGATAACCCGAGCTGACTGTGAAGAGCTAGAAGGTCAATAGTTTTGGACCTATCACCATCGGGTACCCACTTTCTGCTGGGTGAATAGAGGCATTTACCTAAGATTAAATTTCATTTGTGACGTCGTTCCATTGTCTGCTCGCTCCATTACGCAGAGGTTAATTTACATTTGTGACGTCATTCCATTGTTTGCTACGATGTGTACCAGTTTCAAATGTATGACTTCATTTTGTCATTTTGACATTTAATTTTGATAACACTATAGTGCAGTGCAGTGCAGTGCAGTGCAGTGCAGTGTAGTGCAGTGTAGCGCAGTGTAGTGTAGTGTAGTGCAGTGTAGTGCGGTGTAGTGTAGCGGTGCGGTGCGGTGCGGTGTAGTGTAGTGTGGTGTAGTGTAGTGTAGTGTATTGTAGTGTATTGTAGTGTAGTGTAGTGTAGCGCAGTGTAGTGTAGTGTAGTGTAGTGTAGTGTAGTGTAGCGCAGTGTAGTGTAGTGTAGTGTGGTGTAGTGTAGTGTAGTGTAGTGTAGTGTAGTGTAGTGCAGTGTGGTGTAGTGTAGTGTAGTGTAGTGTAGTGTAGTGTAGTGTAGTGTAGTGTAGCGCAGTGTAGTGTAGTGTAGTGTAGTGTAGTGTAGTGCAGTGCAGTGTAGTGTAGCGCAGTGTAGTGCAGTGTAGTGTAGTGTAGTGTAGTGTAGTGTAGCGCAGTGTAGTGTAGTGTAGTGTGTGTAGTGTAGTGTAGTGCAGTGTAGTGTAGTGTAGTGTAGTGCAGTGTGGTGTAGCGCAGTGTAGTGCAGTGTAGTGTAATGTAGTGTAGTGTAGTGTAGCGTAGCGCAGTGTAGCGCAGTGTAGTGTAGTGTAGAGTAGTGTAGTGTAGCGCAGTGCAGTGTAGTGTAGTGTAGTTTAGTTTAGTTTAGTGTAGTGTAGTGTAGTGTAGTGTATGAAGTGTAGCGCAGTGTAGCGCAGTGTAGTGTAGTGTAGTGTAGTGTAGTGTAGCGCAGTGTAGTGTAGTGTAGTGTAGTGTAGTGTAGTGTAGTGTAGTGTAGTGTAGTGTAGTGTAATGAAGTGTAGCGCAGTGTAGTGTAGTGTAGTGTAGTGTAGCCAGTGTAGTGTAGTGTAGTGTAGTGCAGTGTAGTGTAGTGTAGTGTAGTGTAGTGTAGTGTAGTGTAGTGTAGTGTAGTGTAGTTTAGTTTAGTTTAGTTTAGTTTAGTTTAGTTTAGTGTAGTGTAGTATAGCGTAGCGTAGCGCAGTGTAATGTATTGTATTGTATTGTAGTGTAGTGTAGTGTAGCGCAGTGTAGTGTAGTGTAGTTTAGTTTAGTTTAGTGTAGTGTAGCTGACGCAGCGCAGTGTAGTGCTGTGTAGTGTATTGTAGTGTAGTGTATTGTATTGTATTGTAGTGTAGCGCAGTGTAGTGTAGTGTAGTGTAGTTTAGTTTAGTGTAGTGTAGCGCAGCGTAGTGCTATGTAGTGTAGTGTAGTGTAGTGTATTGTAGTGTAGTGTAGTGTAGTGTAGTGCAGTGCAGTGCAGTGCAGTGCAGTGCAGTGTAGTGTAGTGTAGTTTAGTGTAGTTTAGTGTAGTGTAGTGTAGTTTAACGTAGTGTAGTGTAGTTTAGTTTAGTTTAGTTTAGTGTAGTGTAGTGTAGTGTAGTGTAGTGTAGCGCAGTGCAGTGTAGTGTAGTGTAGTTTAGTGTAGAGTAGTGTAGTGTAGTTTAGTGTAGTGTAGCGCAGTGTAGTGCTGTGTAGTGTAGTATAGGGCACTGTAGTGCAGTGTAGTGTAGTTTAGTGTAGTGCAGTGCACTGTAGTGTAGTGTAGTGTATTGTAGTGTAGCGCAGTGTAGTGAAGTGTAGTGTAGTGTAATGTAGTGTAATGTAGTGTAATGTAGTGTAATGTAGTGCAGTGTAACACAGTGTAGTGTAACGTATTGTAGTGTAGTGTTGTAGTGCCAGTGTAGTGTAGTGTAGTGTAGTGTAGTGTAGCGCAGTGTAGTGTAGTGTAGCGCAGTGTAGTGCAGTGTAGTGTAGTGTAGTGTAGTGTCGCGCAGTGTAGTGCAGTGTAGTGTAGTGAAGTGTAGCGCAGTGTACTGTAGTCTCACGCAGTGCTGTGTAGTGCAGTGTAGTGTAGTGTTGCGCATTGTAGTGTAGTGATGCACAGTCTCGTGTAATGTAGCGCAGTGTAGTGTGATTTAGTGTAGCTTAGTGTGGCGCAGTGCAGTGGAGGTCAGAAGATTAAATCCCAGGACGGATCACGGAGCTCTTATGACCGCTACACATGCCTTAGTGTAGTGTAGTGTAGTGTAGTGTAGTGTAGTGTAGTGTAGTGTAGTGTAGTGTAGTGTAGCGCAGTGTAGTGTAGTGTAGTGTAGCGCAGTGTAGTGTAGTGTAATGTAGTGTAGTGTAGTGTAGCGCAGTGTAGTGTAATGTATTGTATTGTAGAGTTGGGGTGCGCAGTGTAGTGTAGTGTAGTTTAGGGTAGTGTAGTGTAGTGTAGCGCAGTGTAGTGTAGTGTAGCGCAGTGTAGTGTAGTTTAGTGTAGTGTAGTTTAGT